CCTTACCTTCACACACTATGTAAGTATATGTAAGGATACACTTCAAGTTTCTGCATATAGGGAAACCATGCAGGTGCTTCAATTATTCGTAAAATCGCATCACTGAATCCAGTATCAGATTAATTTGTGCACCTGAAATGGCTGCAGTGTCATGCAGAACCACAAGATACATTAACATTAGGCAGCAGAACTCACAAACCACCTTCACAGGCTCAACTGTGACACACTGAAAAAAGTCAATATTTCTTGAAGCAGTACTAAAAAGCTCAGTTGTCCGAACAAGTTCTGCATTGCTCAGTTTTACAGTAATAATTGAGATAAATAACTATAGTGTCAGAAGCCTTATCTTTCAAAAAAATTTCTGAAAGGACTTTAATTACCTTGCTCGTCTGCGCTTATCTGATTTCTTTTTCCCCCTAATAACATGTTTATGATCTTTATGAGGATGCTGCTCTTCTGAAGAGTCATGATGCAACAATCCATAAAGCAGCTAAGACTGAAGATGTTTTGAAAAGACCTCTTCCTCCAGATCCAAAGTGGACTGATCTAAGCTGCTTTCACTTTTCATCATTGTCCTTATATCAGCAATAAACGTGCCAAAGTTCACACAAGCCCTCCATAATCCAATTTAAAATGAGCTGGCTTAAATCACAGTGAGACAATTAGCCACAAGAACTGCTACAGGAAGAATGTATCAGTAATATCTTAAACTACCTCAGCTATTTTAAAATTGGGTTTGTCCACACCTCTACGTTAGTAGAGATGTGCATCGTGCTGCCAGAGCACTTTTCAGAGGAGATACAGAGGTCATTTTGGTTCAAGTTGCTTCAACAGTATCAGTATAGTTAATGTAGTACAAAGGGGCAGAGATAAAAATCCGAAAATATTTCAGGCCAAAACCAAGCAGTTTGGTAGCTTACGCAGTAACTGTGGAAAATAGAACTGTATTTAAAAATTTAGAATTAAAAGCAGCCACAACAAACTCATTTTGTTCTTAAAAAATAAAATGTCCAAACAGCTCATTCAAGGAAGAAAATGAACCTCTCTGATTTCTGTCTCAAGTTCCTCTTCTAGCATTTAGTGACTCAGGATAAAATACCTGTTCCACTAATATCTACTTATGGTTCTCAAAAAAAAAACCCAGGAATTTTTTCCCCCAGTATTAAATTCTCAAATTCAGGAGCAATAACAGCACAGAGTATGTTTCTCTATCTTGTTGCTGTTATTAATTAAGTCCCACTTACTGTTCCTGAATTGCTGTTATTTAGTTGCACTAGATGGGTGTGTTAGAAAGTAATGGAAGATGGATCAACAGCTGTAGTTATTATGAAAATTATGGCAGTACATGAGAGGAATTGCAGCTGCTCAATTCATGCAAATAAGAGCTACTTGACAATGCCTATAATTACACAGTATGTCAAAACAGCATAGCTGGAGTATAAGTAGAGACTACATATTTTAGAAAGTCGAAAGATTTGCATTTCATTATGTTCACATTCCCTAAACTCCTATTTAGGGATAACAAGATACACATTCTGTCAACGGGCTCACAAATACAGAAAGGTCTACTGAGTCTCCCAGGTGCATTCTCCTGTCAGTGCTGCAGCTGTCAAACACAGAGCCTCTCTGCGTGTTTCCCAGGCATTTGTAATACAGCCTGTACTCACAGTCAGAGCTGGGGTTTCGGCTCACCATGTGCTGAGTAGATAAGAAGAAAGATCCAGCCACATCTACTTTCAAAGCAAAGGAAGATTGCTTCCGAGTGGCTCAGACAGTGCAGATACCATCTCCTCTATTCAAAGACTGTTCCTGATATCTGGCACAGCACTGTAATATTCTAGTTTACTTTGCTTAGTATTGCTTTTGAATGTACCTACTTTCAGCTTGTTCTGGATAATTCCTTTCCCACTTCAGGCACTAAGGCCCTCTTAAAGAGCACATTTCCTCCTCTTATATAAAAACTTCACTAAAAGCTCCTCGTTTTCAGAGAGGCTGCCCACAGTGCTTATCCTGTTACATCTCCAGGCTATTTGCACATTAGCAATGGTTTATATAAAGCAACATTTTATTATTTTAGTTTCTTCCCATTCCCATTCTGCCTCTTTAACTAAAGCCCTTTGTTTTTCACTAGTTGTTTCATGCTGGCAAATTCCTGCACCTGCATGGAAAAAAAACAGGGATGTTTTTGCTTTCCCCTGTATCTCAAACTCTTGTTTCAAGAACTGTAGAGCACATAGTTACATTACAAATAAAAAACCCAGAACACAAAATATCAGATTAATTAAGAGATTTATTTATTTATTTTTGACTTACGACATTCACATAAGGAGACACGGGGAGATACATAATCTTGCAGCCGTCCTATCTGTCACTCTAGGGTGAGTTGGACCTACTTGGTGTATAACACAGCTGGTTACTAAAATTGCTTACTGCTCTTGTTTTACATAGTGATTCAAACTGTATAACCTGGCAGTAAATAATCTTTCCTCTGTACTATCAGGACATGCACTTTCCTGTGAAGTCTGCTGACAAAGTCTAGTTCCAATGCCTTGGAACCCAGGGACATGACTCTTGGTAAAAGCAGTACCTCAAGTTTTCCACATTTCACATGGACAGTCATTAAATCACTGATCCAATGTAACAGCTACTCAAATTGTTAGTCTTACCTGAAATCACATGCCGTGGTAAGTTCTGCTCCTCCTCCAAAAGCTTTTCCTTGGACTAGTGCAACACTGATCAAAGGCAACCTACACATGAGAGTTTTGCAAGAAAAAATCAAGCTTTTAGTCTTTTAAAAATTAGAAAGCAAGTCAACCAAACCATCTCTATAGTAAAAGTTTAGAAAAATATATTGTTCCAATTCATTCAAATAACAACATCTTTGTGGGTAAGCAGCACAATACCAATTCCACTTATTTCAAAATTACTATTGCATAATTGATATGGAATCCCAAAATTAAACAGCAAGACAGAGATATCAAATGGAATCAAAACAAGGATCGCATACTGAAAAAACACGTTATGAAGCATACCTGCTATAGATTATACCTAAAAAGACTATCTGCAAGGAGGAGTGACAGGACAGCAACACAAGATTCTACTTTATGCCAGTATACTACAGAAAGCAGCAGAAAGGGATACAAAGGACTGAAGGTCTGGGTTATCTAAAAATAATGAGATTTACCATGACAGCCTCAGCAGTTTCTTTAGAGTGCTACTATCTCAGCTATCAACAAAACTTTTTTTCTTTTCTTTTTTTTTTTGAGAACAAAACCATTTAAGGAAAGCAGCAATCTGTTACCTTTGTTGGTGTTGTATTTAATCATGCTCAAGGTAATTCAAAGAACAGAGGGAAGGAAGAGTATGTTTCCCTACTGCCATTGTGAAATGAATACTAATGAACAGTGACATTGGATAAGCCAACTTCCCTAAGAAATGAAGACAATTGGTTAGTCACAGAATTTGCATGCTGATACAGCTGTTTCATCTTTTACTACGAAGAAACATTTAACTTATTGAGCAGTTTTCAAACCACATTCAAAAGTCAGCTTCCCGATCAGGACCACATGTTTGGTTTTAGTTCTACTTTAACAGAAGCACCAACACTTTCTTTTGGCCCAAGTTCACTTACAAGCTGCAGCACACTTCATACAATACATGACACGTGAACCCACCAGAAGAGGGCAGCCTCATTTTTCCTGTGGTTTATGAGAAACCAGAAGACATGGGTCCAAGACCCCTACATCCACACTTTGATCCATTCAAGGCACCTCTTTCAGGATCACAGTCAGCATCTCCCTCTTTCTGAGGGAGACTAACCCCATCTACAACAGATGTCCCCAGACAGCAGCTCACTGCTCCCCCTGAAGCACTGCTTCAATGTCTGCTAAGTCAACACACCTGAGGTGTGGGGGGTTAATCTTCACACATCTTCCTCCTCTGCTTTGCCCCATCCATTTTGATTATATGGAGACTCAAATGGATTCCAATTCTGAGGATTCCTTACAGTACTACTACTATAAGTGTCCTGGGCAATTTTACAGAAAAAAATGTTAATTCATAACACTTTCTCATATAGATTATTTGAAAAGAAAGAATATTTGAAAACAAAGAGTATTTATCTTCAAAGAGCACTGAGCAGAAAATACACAGACTTTAGCACTAATGGATTTAATAGATTAGGGGAATCTAAATTTGAAGGAAAGGAAAAAGTGGTTTTCAGAAGTGCCAGATGGTAGAACTGAATACATTCCTCTTATGAAGTGGGAAGATTAAACAGATATATCAAACAAACGTTACCTGTGTAGGCTGCATAAGCTGTCTCTGCTTGTTATTTAAGAGCTACCAACTTTCACAGAGTTATAGAAGCCAGTTTCTGAAAATTTGAAGGCCTAGATTTCCTTAACTCTAGGTATCTCCTAGCTCTACACATGTAACCCTAGGTCGGTTTTTCCTGTTCTGATCTTTGGAAAGTCTAATAGTTGCAAAATTTCAAAGTCTAATTTTAATCCATAAATACCTACCTGATTAACATGTGTCAATGCAAGGTCTGGGATTCAAAATTACATACTTAAAACTACGTATTAAACTTTAAACATCTCATTAAAGAGTTAGCTAAAATACATTCCAATACTTATAATTACTTCATAAAGAAGGGTAAATAAAATATATTACCTCATAAGTCTGGTTAAGGTGTTTTGCATAAACATGCACATATTCATCCCATCCTACAAAAAACAGGAAATTAAAAAACATTAAGTGATCTTAATATGAAGCAATTAAACATACAGATGGAGAAGACAGGAGTAAGTATTCTTTATATTTACTTTAGCTTGTTTTTTTCTCTTTGGTTCATCTTGCTCAAATTCCAGTCTAACCCTTCTATGCGCAAATAAAAAACTGAGTATAAATCAGGTCAAAAAAATAAAATCAGACCTCAATCAACTTATATAAACTCCAGTTATAATTAAGCCACCATTAAAGTAATTGCAAAAGAAAGACTCTTCTTATTTCATCCTTTATGTTTTAGTTCATCTTGTAACCAATAGTCAATAAGGTACAATTGTTCCCATCTAATCCACACAAGAACTAAAGGGCTCCAAATAAAGTAAGTTGCTGCTACGTTCAAACCAAATATTTCTTCCTACAACGTGTAATTAAAATGTGGAAAACTTGGCAGCAGGGCATTACATCCTCTGCATGAATTCAAGAACAACTAGATAAACTCACGACAGAAAAAGCGGCAAAAGGTTATTACATAGAAGGTAACACCTCTAGCTCTAGAAGTCTTAGTCACAAGTTGCTGGGGACTAAAAGAATTTTTTAAAGCTAAATCATTATCTATCTGCCTTCCCTGTTATTACACTCTTTCTCAGACATCTATTATTAACCAGGAACTTGACAAATAACTAGATTAAATGACTCAGTATCACCGTGTTCATATACATACTGAATTGAACTACACATACCATTTACCACAAATTAAAAATAAAAATTACATTTGGACACTGTAGAAATAAAAAACCCAGTAGGTAACAATTTCAGCATCTCTTTTAAATTATAATTAAAAATAAAAAAATCCAAACAAACCAAAACCAATAAACATTTCTTTATTGGAATTTAATAATTTCTAAAACAACGTTTTACAGGGTTTGGCAAGTTAAAGAATTAAGAGCTTCTGACTCATGCTCCAGGAAAACAAAAGATACCCAGTAAGTCTCCAGTACCTCTTTAGAAGAGGACCTTGAAATAATAGTAGGCCAATTTCAGGTGCTACTCTGCCCAACGCCAACCAGCATTATGGTGTTTAGGCACAGATGTCTGGCAGATATAAGCTGCCACAAGAATTGCTATACAAGAACCAGTGAATTCAGTTTTATTACACTAAAGGCCTGCTTGAAAATTTCAGCACACGTTGATGTACAAAGAGGCTTTTAGTTATGACTCTAGCCATCGCCTACACCCATTAAGAACGTTAGCAATATCTCCATTCTAAATTAAAGAACATTCAAATCCTTCATGACAGCTATTTTAATAGCTAAGTTCAAAACCCACACAAACATACAAGGTATCAGTTCTCAGACACAGACTTGCACCATTCCCATACTATAACTGTCCCATACTATAACTCACTTCATCACAGTAGAGTCCTTGCATTGAAACTGGCCCTCTCAACTCATGTTGAAATCCAAAATGGTGATTAAAGATTAATTCCAGAACAGACCAGCTTAATAACAGCAATTACGATTGAGCAGACAAAAGGTCTTCATACTCTCAGGTGGTAGAGATTACTGTGTAATCTACTGTGTAACCCATAGAAAAAACGCCCACACAGAAAACACTCTGAAAAAAAATAAATCAATTGCTTGAGTCCTGGCCAATAAACCCTTCAAGACTTCCTGACTGGGTTTCTGTGGCTGGGTTTTGGTAGCAGGGGGGCTACAGGGGTGGCTTCTGTTAGAAGTTGCTAGAAGCTTCACCTGTCCCGTGGAGCCAATGCCAGCCAGCTCCAGGGCAGACTTCCTGCCGCTGGCCAAGGCCGAGCCAATTAGAAGTAATAGTAACACCTCTGTGATACCATATTTAAGAACAAAAGACTGTTGCGCAGAAGAAATTCCAGCCAGGGAAGAGCAGAGTGAGAACATGGGAATAACAATGTAGACATCAAGGTCAGTGCAGAAGGAGAAGGAGGAGGTGCTCCAGGCGCCGGAGCTGAGGCCCCTGCAGCCTGTGGTGCAGACCATGGTGGAGCAGGTTGTCCCCCTGCAGCCCATGGAAGACCATCGGGGTGCAGAGACCCACCTGCAGCCCATGGAGTAAGTGGATGCATGAAGGAGGCTGTGACCCCGTGGGAGGCCCAGGATAGAGTCGGGTCCTGCCAGAGACCTGCGACCTGCGGAGAGGGAAGCCCACGCTGGAGCAGGTTTTTTCTGGGTAGGACTTGTGGCCCCTGTGGGGGACCCGCGTCAGTACAGTTATTTCATGAAGCACTGCACCCCATGGAGGAGTGACCCACAGGACAGCAGTTTGGGAAGAACTGCTGCCCGAGGGATGGACTCAGGCTGAAGAAGTCCATCAAGGACTGTCTCCCATGGGAGGGACCTCATGGGAGCAGGGGAAGGACTCCTCTCTCAGCAGCAGCAGAAACAACAACTGACCATAATCCCCATTCCCTGTCCCCCGGCACCACTGGGTGGAGGAGGGAGAACATGGAAGGAAGAAGGGGTGAGGGGAAGGTGTTTTTTAAGACTGTTTTATTTCTCACTCTTTGGCTCTTATCCTGTTAGTAATAAATATAAGTACTATCCCCACTTTGAGTCTCGTTTTGCCCGTGAAGGTAATCAGTAAGTGAGCTCTCCCAGCTCTTATCTCTACTCATGAATTCTTAGCTGTTTTTTTTTTTCTCTCTCCTCTGTCCAGTTGCAGAGGGAGAGTGAGAGAGCGGCTTTAGTGGGTACCTGGTATCTGGCCAGGGTCAACCCACTACACTGATAAGAAAAATAAGGCTACTATTCAGATAAAATACTCTAAGAGATATTCGTTGCAGTCTACTGGAATAATTACATTTTCAGTTCTAATACTGTCCTTGAAGTAAGAAGAAATCTAATACACAGAAAGGGAGGTAAAATACAGTATGCACTACATATGGAAGAAAAGGATTAATAGCTTGCGGTGGGGCTAGGGGAGACAGGGAAGAAGAAAGTCACCTTCATAAAGTAGAAAACTGTAACACTGGCTCTTATTGCTGCAGGAGCTTACAGTCCACTTTCATGACAGATAGAACAGTATTTCCAGATTATCTCCAACTGCTCCAAAGTCCTCCCTCCATGGCTTACTTCTTGGGAACCTCTGTCCTAGGGCTTCTAGACTAGGACCAAGGAAAGCAAAATTCTCCTTTGTGCCTTCTTCCTCTCATCTGTCCTTTCAAGAGCCACTCCTGCTTTTTGGGTAGCCAGCTTTTCAAGTCTCACTCCAGAATGAGGTTCTCACTCTTGGGAACCAGGCTTACAAAACCAGAAAGAAAAATATTTTTTTCTTTAAATTCCACTACTCATTTGCCTTCTGTGATTTGGTTACATAATGTTAGCAAGTCTGCAAAGAAGAACAGGCAGGGGACCTGAGGTATTGTTTCACAGTTAGAAACAACTGAACATGCGAGAAGGTGGACAAAGAGAGGAAGAGAATAAAGAGGAAGAGGAGGATGAAGAGCCACTAGGGGGCATGAAAATCCTTCAGCATTCTAGGCCATTATTCTGCCTATCCTGCACCACAAGAAAAAGCAAACTGGATTTAAAATCATGAAAAATACAATCTTCCCTCAACCAACTGGTTGAACAAAAGTGTTTTCTGCAATTAGTAAAAGCTATAGGCTAAAGCAGCCTTGCAAAAAAAGAAAAAAAAAAGAAAAAAAAAGAGAAAAATATACCAGTTCAAGGCATGAAGCTATTCACTATTTTTTTTCCTTAGAGATGCCTGTGGACAGAAAACTTAACCTGAAACCACAAAAAACTCTCTCACCTGCAGCAATCTAGAGAGAAGAGTTCTGTAAGACTAAAGAACAGCAAATGCTGTTCCATATTTTATTAAAGCTTTATTTAATATAACTATTAAATCCCACCAAACAGATGGTTTAGGATCTTGCTATTATAAAGAAACTCTCATTAAAAGATAAATAGCTTGAACTCTCCAAAGGAAATAGAAAGCAACTATGTTTAACTATTCGTGGAGCATTTCTAGTGACTTTTAGACCTTATTTCAATACTAGTATGAGATCTAGATTCTGTGCAAAGAATTTTCAATGAAGTTATAATTAATACCTATACATTTAATTTTGCCCATTATATCTGTTATGGACTCTAATCCTTAGAAGAGCCCTCTCTGCCACTGCAGTGGCTCCAAGTAATTTATATAAACATACAGAGAGAATAATAAATGTATGGAAGCAGAATCACTGAGATTTACTGAATGCAGAACTCTGAAGGAAAGCCTAGACTGAAGATAAGAAAAGAACTGGTTTTGCTTGGTTTCAGCTCCTTTTCTGTTGCTATAATGCTAAAATAACCAGATTTAAAAAAAAAATTAAAAAAAATCACAGATACATCTATATTTTTAAAATTACCAATGCTTATAAAGTATCCAAATGAAAACTCCCTCAAAACCATTTATACCTATAAAGCATGAAATCTCCGTATTAAGAAAAGAGCATCTCTCATAGTGTTCCCCAAAAGCAACAAAGTGTCCTATACCCTTTGAAAACTGGACTGTCCTATATATTTTACCAGGCTAGAATTTGTGGGGTCTATGACATTTAGTTTCATCAACAGAAAAAATCATCATTAAAGACAAATACCAGTTTAACCAGTTTTTGTGTTGGTGTTCATACTGGAATGCCCAAATAAAAGTTTAATTTGTGTGGTTAAGTCTTGAAACTTGAAGTGGCCGCAGAAAAGCACCAGGACGTCAGTTACCACAACTGCAAACTAGGACTTAAGAGCAGCACAGGAAAACACCCTTCTGCAGCTGACAAAGTCCTGTTTTACACAGTGCCAAGTACCACATATTAATCCATAAAAAGAATTGCAGCACATGTGAAAGTTGCCAAACAAGTGACATGAGCAAAAAAATTGCCATCAAACCCCTAACCTCTTCAACCCCATAGTTACACACAAAACTTACCTGACTCAAGTACAGCACAAGAATTGCATCTGTCCTTCCATTTTATGCAGTTCCAAGCACAGTTTTGACAAAACAGAAACCTTTCTGTAATAGCAGCCATGCCACTTAAATTTGCTTTTTTACTTTAGAGTATATGAAAAATTATTACTTGAAACATCAAGCTACAGAAGCACTGCTTATCTGATGTGTAAATTCACTATATACTGCTCTGAGAAACTGAAATGACATTTTTAAAAGAAAAGATTAAAAAGAATATGTAGGAATTTACAGTTACGAATCAATTACAATAACATTTAAGTCACAGCTTAAAGGGGCTGCTAGCATTTTTTCAAGCATTAAAAGCTCCATTCTGTGGCATGTAAAATTGCAGCAGAATTGTAGTGCAACTCCTCTGTTTAAAAAGAATCTCAGAAAGCTCATTTTTCTCCAAAACCGTAATGTGTATTAATACTCGCCTGGGAGTTGGATATTTCTTTGACAGCATTCAAATCTGATCCTGAGCAAAATGTGTTTCCTGCACCATAGACGATAAGGCCTTTGCCATCCTTCCAGTTTTCCAGTTCAGTTATCCTCTCCTGGAGTTCTACCATCATAGTACCTGTCACAAGTGGGGAGAAGCAAAATTTTTAACAGGAAATTATTATCACAATCATTTTTTGTGTTACATTTTCCACCAATAAAACCAAATCAGAATTAATAAGTGATAGGCTTAAAACCACATGGGAAAGTACCATCCTAAGTCCTGCACACAAGCACCAACATACACTTTTTCTTCAAGGGTGCACTTCCTGAAATTCTGAAGGATGTTCTGCATGAACAATATTTGTGTTCCACTCAAAAAAACCCCAAAACAAAATAACCACCAACAAAATAAAGCAAAAACAAAACAAACAAGCAAACAAGAAACCCCTCTCTATTTGATTTATTCCTGTTTGCAATTGTATACATTCTGGACACATGAACTTATTTCTTTCCATCCAGATCTGTCCAACTGGACAGATCAGTTATTTTGAAGTTACTGCCATTTCACCCTGCTCAAAGAATTGGCAGAGAACAGAAAAGAACCACATGCAAGGTGGGCTCAAGGCATAACCAGTTAATGTTAACAAAGATTCCTAAAAAAGGCCAAAGACCAAACTGTGTTGGAGGCCAAAGACATTTAGAAGTATCCATCCAAAAGAAAATAAAGATATATTTGAAAATAGGAGCAAAGTGCCTTCTAGATTTAAAAAACCCCCAACTTTCTAAAATGTCTTTCATTCCCTAGCTGGAACCTTTATAGAAAGCCTCCCTTTACAAAGTATGTCATTGTACTAGCTTTTTATTTCTAGCTTAAACACCATATTCTCATATATTCGCTTAAGTACCCTTCCTGACAGGGAACTCTCCAAACTCCTGTTCCTAAAGCTCATCCTAGACTGTGGCATTTTCCACACCAATGGAGCTTACCCTACATTCACTTAAAGCTCTTCCTCTCTAAATGCCTATGACTCTGTCCAATCATATTCTTAAGAGAAAACATTTACAGAAACTAATTCCAGAAAGCAAGCTACATACGGGCTGATTACGCTCAGCTTTACACTCCTTTGACAAGAATTTAGATGGACAGGCCTACCTTCTTCAGACAAAAATGTGCTTTTGATTAATACTATCAAGAGCTCTCCTCTGCCAACAGTGTTGCTTTTTTAACTCTACACCTGCATGCACACGACTCGTTCTGTTCTGAAAATGCCTGTTAGCAGCCAACCCATGGGAGATTGAATTTTCCTTCCTGTTTGTTTTTCTTGCACTTCCTTATGAAGTAAGCTTCCCAGCACCAGATCAAGAGTGAACACTTAGTCAAGCACTTCCCCCTTAGGCTTGGTCTCAGCCACTGAAATAGCACATTTTGACAATGTTTCTGAGGAGGCCAATAATTAAGTGGACATTACATATTATACACCAGAATGACACTGGTTTTTTTACCTACTATCAAATCCAGACTATGATCCTCTAACAAATCCCTACAGTTTTGCCAGTTCCTTTCCCTTCTGTATTTATAATTTGGCAATGCTTTTTGTGTGCAGCACATTACATTTGCTTTCATTGAATTTAACCTTGTTTATCTTTGCCACACCTCTGCTCCAAAGAATAATCTTGCAAGTGTGAGAGACCAAAACGTTATGACTAATGACTTAAACATTGTTAAGAAGGACTTTTGCCCACTGTAGCAAACTGCAAAGATGACCATTGAAGCCCACTTCCTGCCAGAATATGCCTCCCGGATTTCAGGGAATTGGACTGTTCCACCTGATAGGAACTTGAGGTAAGATAAAGGTGGTCCAAATCGTCCCAGGTCTGAGAAGAAGTAAACAAGGGTGGGGAGAAGAATGTAAATCCAAACTCAGCAGCTGTGTTGAAAATCAGCTCTGGGAGGAGGAGGAGAGTTTTTGGATCTGTGATGGCGAAACCTCTCCGCTTAAGACAGAGGGAGTAAAAACCCATCCTCCCTTGCACAAACTGGCTCAGTTGTAAACCTCCCCCACAGACAGGTGGTATTTTCTACTTAATCTGTCTTTCTGTCAGTCTCTTTCTCTCCCCCCGTCTTTCTCTTTTCTATTTCTCTCTATCTCTTTCTCTCTATCTCACATTTACTGTTAAATAAACCGGGACTATTGATTTCAGCATATGGTGTCATCTGCACCTTAATTCGGGCAGAGGCCTCTCTCTAATAATTTTAATAACAGATCTTAACAGCAAGCTCTCCCAATTTGGGGTCATCTGAAAATTTCAGGACTTCACCTTCTATTTTATCATCTGAGCCATGAACGAAAGTACTGAGCAGAATTAGGCCTAGATGAGATTTTTGTGGGTCTTCATTTGAAATGCTTTTCCAGACTGACGGTGCACTCAGCAACTTTTCTGCAAATGCTGTTCAAATATGCGTGCATTAACCCTGTGGCTTTCACTCATTGCTTATTTGACAAGTCTTCTTACTAGAAAGGTATTTGGGCTGGCATCCAAGCTTTGCTAGTGTCAAATACAGCACAAACACTGTTTGTGGTTCTTTTAATAGACAAAGCAGTGAGGTATTGAAGAGTCTTTCCACACAGTATTCCAAGCCAAAAATTTATTTAACTGAAAAAATGAAGGAACTGTATGAGCCCTTTACGTGCAATAGCTCAGAACAAGAGACACTGGCCAGAGCCTGTCCCATTCTCCTGGCACAGAATTCCTTCCATTCCTGTCAACACTGAACTATTATTTTACCAACAGATATAGTCCATGATGTTCGATATAATGATGAGGACATAACACTAAAGCAAATCCTCATTCAGCCCTTCTTGTCTTTCAATATTTGATACCACTAAGCTCATACTCTTTAGAGAACTAAATCTATTTGGAATAATAATTTGTTTGCATCTTAACTATAATCTGAGAATAAGTGTTTTAAAGTAAATTCTAGAAAATAACATTATCATCATTATTATCTAATTCCTACAGGCTGGCTTTCTTCTCTTTTAAATTACATTCAAGTTTAGTTCAGTGATTGGTTGGGCTGCTGAAATTGGTTCCACCAGGCTTAGACTGACATTATTACCATTTGTTTCCAAAGAGACCATTTCAAACACGTGGCTATCAGATTCCAATTAAGAAGAGAAAAAAGGCATAACAACCTCCATATTGCCCATTAGCAATTTGCCAACAATTTTGTTCTGGTTTTGATTTCATGAGTTGCTCAAGCTTAGAATAAACATAATTCCTTCGAGATAAAAAACTGCTGTGTAAAGTAAATGCCTGGAAAAAAGAATCTCCCTCAACAGTTTAATGATATTTTGCGGCTTTCTAAAGGAAGCATACATGTATACATAAATTCACATCTACCATTATTCAGAAGCTCGGAGACACAGAATCAACAGAATTTATTTGCGGGGTGGAGCAGGGTGGGTCAGCAGATCTACAGGCTCTGGCTGATGAAATCAACCATGTCCTGCTGGGGCAATTTAGGGTCTGAGCATCCCATTCTGCTCCTTGAAGAGTATTATTTGATAGACAACAGAAGGAACAGGATCAGGTTCTTGGTTTTGTCCCTCAGCAACTACAGTTTACAGACAGTAATGTTAAAGTGAAATGAAGAGCAAGATAAATTAAGATGCCATACCATTAACTGCAGCGGCCAAGGGGCCAGCCTGATTTTGCTTCTACTGTCCCTCCTGTTACAACGAAAGTCTCTAGCAGAGGTGTACAGCAGAAAGAAGCAGTATCTCTTGAACTGCCATAGTAAGATTTTTCAGAGCAACTTTGTGGCTACTATCTAGCAGAATGGAGTACTGCTCTCTGCAGGGCTCTACACACTGCTGTAAAACAGAACTGCCTGATCCCATGGCTCATTTGTCATATGGTAATTAGGGTCTGCGACAAAGACAAAACTATTAATTTCCTCAGCAGTTTTTGTAGGTCCTCTTTGGTACTACAGCATCTAATTCACATACACTAATACGTTATTTTCACAGCAGTCTATAAGGAGAGAAGAGATTATTTTACAGACCACCAACTGAGCCAGAGAGAAAATATCTGCTAATTTGGGTGCTCGAGATGTGTGATATGATTTCAGTGCACTAACATTATATAGAACATTGTGTAGGCAAAGAACAGCTATCAGTTGCCTAAATGGCAGCTGCACCTGCTCAGCACTTCAACATATCAATTCTGAGCCCCTTCTGCCAAGCACATAGAAAACAGTTGCATCTATTAAAGTTTAGTTTAAGCAATTTGACTTTTATTACACCTGATCTCCATAGCAGACTGGGCTTTATCTGTTCTTTCTCCTTTTGCTATTACATCTCATTTCTCATGCCCCCTTCAACTTCCACAACAAATAAGATAAGAGAACAGAGTCTACAAAGTGCAGATTATACAGTTCTGTTTTGAGTCAAAAACAGAAACCAATCTGCAGTAAAAGAGGAAACTACAATGTAATTATGATTGTAGAACAGCATGAATGCTGACAGGGAGGCATTCAGAAGGACAATCCCTATGCTAACATCTTTAAGCTACAACTTCTCAAGTTAGGTAATGATTTTATACGTGAGCTTTTGAAGGGAAACAAAAGAATGCAGACACATCTAGGGACATAACCACCAATTCTGTTGCTCTGTTAGGTTCCTTTCAGCTAACAATCATTAGTTGAAAGGTAAGCGGCTCTACACTTTGTTAGTGTTGCAAATGTACTGGTTCGAAGCAAAGGAGTGGTGAGACTTGGGAAGGAAAACAGAACAGCAAAAAAGAAAACAGAACAGCAAAAAAGAAATTAACAAGATGACACAAATTTATCCATTTCAAAATATTAAGAGATAAAAACATTCTTAAAGGTTTCTGCACAGCTCCAGCTAAAGCAGATTCAGACCCTGAACCTGTGCCACTCATGTCTGAAGAGAACGACATAAATTGGAATATTCTA